TTCTGAATTTCCAACCCCTTTGAAAGACTCCAGAACCTGCCAACAATTCTCTTGTTATATATAAGTAATAAACATACCTATTTTATATATTTAATATATAATAAAAGATACATGAAATATTCACATTTCTTCTGCCCAGGTCTAACAAACTTAATCTCTTTCTGAACTAATTAAGTTTCTAGGCATTTAGGGAATTTCAAAATGGCAGACCTACCCAGAGTTAGTTGAAAAACGGCATCTACTTCATTTCTCTCCCACCTTCAGGCTGGTTTCTCAGAGACCATTCTAAATAGTGGAGCATTACAGCTTCCCTTCCTGGAAGAGGCTGGGAGGCTCGTATGGCAAAGCCTTCTTTGTCCCCTTGAAGCCTCTTTTTGTCCAGTGGACCTCAATTTTATAACCCTCTGCTGACCTGATCACTCCACATCCTTTTGCCCATGGCCCCCTATGCAGAGTATGAGCTCAAAGTTAGCCATTTGCATGTTTCTGCTGGTAAGGCTCGCCACTGTACTTGTTCGCTGTAGGGGAACCTCGTGTTTTTAAGCTTGTCAACAAAGCAAAATCAACACAATAAGCTCCGAGAGCTCGTTTGAGGTTTGATGGCCCGTCTGTGAGCTGCAACAACAGCACCGTCAAACTGTCACTGTTCTGTGGCACTTGCCCCAAATGCCATCCAGGTCTGCACCTGTGAAACCAGGACGGGCATTGTGAGTCACTCTGCCTGCCACCACATAAAAAGCTAATTTCACATTCAGAATGTATGTTTTTTTTCAATACCAATAGCAACAAGAGTGTGCCAAAAATTTCCCCTGAAGCTCTATTCTGTTTTTTAAACTACAGAACATTCTTTCATAGTTTGACAGTTAAAATGCTGCAGTTAATGTAATAAACAGAGAATTTTTCCAAGTAGCTTGTCAAAACAAGCGACACTTTTTTTTTTTTGCTAGCGAGTCTCAGATCCAGAACAATGGGAAGTACCTTTCAAAGCAACATCTTCATTATACAATCAAATTCTCAAAGTAATCTTCTCATCAAAGAATATTGTGTTATTTCTTTCCCAGCAATTAGCAGAGTTCTGCAACCTCTCTGGCAGTGGTGACTGTTAGAAAATGCAGCTGTGCTGAGTTAAAAATCGGGGGGTCCTGCTCCGGTCGAAATGGAGCCAATGCATCTCACGCCCCCACATTTCTGAACGCCTTGGCAGTCTGGGCAGTAAAAACGTCAACATTCCGGGGACCTGTGAACACACCCTCAGGATTCCAGAAGCAAAGTGCTCAGCTGGTCTCTTCAAGGACAGCAGCGATACTAGCAATTCTTGATCAACTAAGCTTATTTTCTTTCCACTGAAGCAAAATAAGAGAGAAGCTCCAAAGATCATTATCCTATTTTTAAAAAAATGGTGTGTGTAGAGTTTGCAAGCCTGTCTCATTAAATGAGATTCTTCTGTTTCAGTTTCCCATCTCTTGGGGGCTGTTTTTGCAATAGAAAGAAAACCCAAGAATACAACTCAAAAGAGGAACTACCAGCCCAAGTCCAATGTTTGCAGTTTCATAGAATCTGGGCAGGAAAATCCCAAGGACACCCAAATTAATGTGGAATTCTGATGAAACCTGTACTTGAACAGCCAGCAATAGGCTGGGAAATTTCAGTCTTTGGAATGTAATTTTCTCTGAAGACTCTTTGGGCTGGGACGGATCATGCAATTCAGTGCTGTAGAGCAGGGAGGGAAACGGCACAAGAACAGAATCCCATTTCTAAGGGTGATTCATGAAACCAGGTTGCAGGCTCTTGTGGGGGTGACTCAAACAATTAGCATGAATGTTCCTAGCAGGTGCCTAGTACACAGCAGGCACTCAGTAAATGTTTGCTGCATCTGAATCTAATTTGAGAGTGTCTCTCCCATCGGATTATAAACTCCCCAAAGGCAGGACCCGTTTTTTTACTTTTTTAAACCTCTTTGGTCCATATTCAAAAATCATTTTAAATAGAATGGCATTTCTGCCTCCCCTGAAGCAACTAAGAGCTGAGGGACCCTTAGCTGGGACTGTGTATTCATGAGGCCATGGCCTCGGACTTCCACGCCAGGTCGAACCCCCTCTGCATGTTGTATGCCACTAACACTCACTATGTGTCCCCGTGTGGGGCGCAGCGCAGCTGCGAAAATGACTGCTTGCATCACCAGTTGTTCAGATCTGCCTCCCGCCCCAGAAGAAAGCTCCAGGAGGGAGGTGCCACCCTCTTGTTCAATGCTGCCGCCTTAGCCACTAACAGTATCTAGAACAAAACAGCTGTTCAATAATATTGGTTCCATGAATAAATGAACGCATGAAGTAAAGTATGTTTTTGTGTTTAAGAAACTCACAGTTCACAGCGATGCTTCTCAACAGGGGCATACTTTCCAGGACAGCTCGTTATGCTGTAGGGTTCTAGGTACTGGGTGTGTTTAGCATCCCGTGGTCCCAGCCACCGGCCAGTGGGTGCCAGCAGAGTGCTCCCCATGCACCGAGACATTTCCACACGCCCCGAGGGGCTGTCCCCGCTCTGACTCAGAAACCCTGCCCTGCGTGGGCTTCAATGAAAGTGACAGCAAAAGCAGCCAGAAGGGGACGGAGCCAGGAAATGATGAAGTAAGATGGGAAGAGGGGGTGTGGAGAAGAGAGAGGGGAAGCAGTCTGACAGGAGAGAGGGCATGGTTTAGCATGTGGTGTTCATTTCAGTTCTCCACGCCCTGGGGATTGTCTGGTGGCCCCCAGCCGCCAGCCCCTGTGACCCTGCGGGGCCCATGCAACACAAAGTGCCCGGGAAGGTTTCTGGGATGCTCCTTATGAGTAGGTCTGTGACACTATGGCTTTCTGTTTGCTATTTGGAATTCTTCTAGTAAAATGTTTGCTTGAAGAAATAAAATTTTGAGGCCAAAAAAACAAAAACCAAAAACACCCACCCACAATTTTTTTGTGTGAGGCTAAAGAGCTGAGAACCACGGCTTTCGAGTTAAGGCTGACGGCTCCAGCAGGGATGAGGGAAGGCCTCACACACCCGTGAAGGAAATTCAGACCCAAGCGAGTGTTTGGACAAAGGGGACATGGTGTGACAAAGCATGAAGAATGTTGGAAAGCCTTATGCAGCACTGACAGGGCAAGTGACAGGGAAGGATCCCAGGGAGAGGACATAGAGGGGAGCCGAGAGGCTCCTGTGAGCTGGTGGGAGGGGTAGACACTGAGGAAGCTGATCTGAGGGGCACCTCACTTTTGGAAAGTGCCCAGGGGACACACGAGACATGTCAAGTCCGACTCTTTGGCGGAGACCCGCTAACAAATGGAGATGGGCCAGGCCAGTGACTCAGGGCTGACATCCACACCCACAGCGCCTGGCCCTAGGGGCAGGGTGGAGGACACTTTCATTTCCAGCAGGAAAATCATAAGCCTGTGCGTGGTGGTTTCAGAACCAAGTGCCAAGCCATCTCTTAGTGAAAGGTTTGCCACGGGGACTGTGGCAAATGCTTCTGTGTATGCCCCGTGCCAGTTAGGAGAGCTCCCTGGACAGAAGAGGGGCTCAGCCCTTTCTGTCTGAATTGATCTCATTAAACAGCTGCCACTGGAGGTGAGGTGGGTTTCGGCCGAGAAGGAAGCGTGGTGGGCAGTTAGACGTGAGCAGAGCAAGGCGATGGGCCACGTACACAAGGTCACAGGGCGGAAGGCCCAGGTGCCTAGCAAAGGACGACTGTAGGGTGGGACCTCGCCTCCAGGGTGACCTTTCCTCCCTTAGCATATCACGTGGTTTGGACCCCTGACCTTTCCTCGACAGAGAACATCTAGGCCTCAGGTGCATTTCAGCTCCTGGCCCAGCAAAGCAGCCAAACCAGACAAGGGACCCCACGGCTGCCCTCAGGACCAGCTGCACTGGATAGTGAACCCTGCCCTGGCCCCACCAATCAATCCGTGGAGACCCTGACCCGGAAAGGACACCCCTGGAAAGCTGCTGAATCGCCTGTTGTGATCTTCCTCTGGGACCCCCTAAACTCTCCACCCTTAAAGCCTTAGGACGGAGGACCCAGAGCGCTGTCCCTCCCCGGAGCACTTCTGTGCCTTTCTCCCCTCCTCCTCTTCTGCTCCCACGCTTGTCACCTTTACCCTCCTCCCTCCCAAGCTCCAAGGGCCCTTCCTTTACCTCCATCACTTGTTTCCTAAGCCCATTTCTTCTAGGAATTACTTCTACCTCTGTGACTTTCCAAATAAATGTTCTCTTACAGTTTGAGTCTTGGCTCTGAATTCTTTCCTAGTGAGAACTCAAGTCCCGAGATTGCTGAACCCAGGTCCGGTCTGACCCCACTGGTCCGACACCTGGTGCCGTTCCCACTGCCTGCCACAGAGGCACAGAGAGCCCACCGGCTGAGCGGAGGCCGCGAGGCGTGACAAAGCAGCGTGGCTCTCTTTAGCGTGCGTCTTTCAGCGAAGGAGCAGACGGTTCAGAACAAGACAGAAAGGAGGTGCTGAGCAGATGACTGAAGGACTGACGAACTAAGTGAGTGAATGAATGAACGCATACAAGTGAGTGGATGAATGAACGCATACAAGTGAGTGGATGAATGAACGCATACAAGTGAGTGGATGAATGAACGCATACAAGCACAGGCATGGGGGCTGGGTCTGAGCCTCTGCCTTATTGCGTGAGGAAGAAGGGGCTGGGGTGGCCTGGCCTACAAACAGAGCATGTTGTTTGTCACTGACCAAAGGTCGGTTAATATGTGGACCCAGTTTTGACACTCTGAGCCTACCACTAAAAATCTCTAGATTTCTAACTTGTACAAAAGGGCAATGAAATGATCTGGCTCAAAAACCAACTAGGAAAGAGGCAAGCTGCTGGGTCACCCTTCAGAGTGTGTCCTTCGGCCCTGGGCGAGGCCAGGACTTCTGCAGCCGGCCTCTCCTCCCCTGCCCAGGTGGCTGCCTGCCCACTGCCGGTCCTGGAGACATGCAGGTGGGCGCCGTGCTCTTACTCACGATTTGCGGAGGATCATCCTCATGTGGGCGTCAGGCCCCATCTGTGACAGCAGCAGCAAGGTGTCCTGCAGCTCCTCATCACACTCCTTCTTCTCCTCCTCCGTGGGCAAAGGAGCGTCCTCGTGCTCATCATCCAGAAATCGATAAAATAAATATTTGTCTTGGAAGTGATGCTCCTGGTCCACTATGGAAAACATGGAGACAAGGGTCAGCTGCTGCACTTCTGCCTCCCAGCCCCCTTACCAGAAACAAATGGGTGAGAGCCAGAGAGCCAGGGGTGGCAAAGGGTGAGACTCCCGTCTCCCCCTGCCTTGCCTAGGGCTGTGCAGCTGGAAGGTGTGACCTCCGGGCTGCCTCGGGCACCTCACAGCTCCCTCGGACCCGCCCAGCTCCTGGGCCGGCCTTGGACTCTCTCATGACAACCTGCCAACTTGTCTGAGATGAGCAAAAATTGCCCTGGGGACATTTTCTAGCATGTAGGACAAATGTCCCAACAGAAAAGTAACCAGCTGCCAGATCCTACTCTCAACTGGTTTTTGAAAATACAGACTTAAAAAGAAAAACCAACCCTACTTTGTCGGGATCAGAACTCATGGTTTTCTTTCTACATGTACTATTTATAAACTAACTGCACTTGAAAACATTAGGGTAAAATTGTTTGAACACGTCCAGCTGAACCAAGTTTTTAGGTCACATACACCTAGAAGGATCTTATGGTAATTTCCTTCCAGTTCTGATTTCTTACAGTTTTCTTCTCTTGTTCCTCTAAACAAAAAGATTTGGATCTGGGAAGGACCAAGCCAGGAAACTTGGCTCAGAATCCCTCACCTACACATTGTCTTAAAGCTTTTAAGCCCCATTTCAGGTTGGAGCATCAACATCGTCAAAAGATAACGAGAAGTGGTAGATCATTGCTGCTTTGTGATCCCGGAACAGCCGCACCTGGAGAGCGTAGGAAAGGTGGACTCTCAGGACCTGGCCCAGACCCACCGCCTCAGAATCTGCACTTTTCCAAGAGTCCCAGGAGGCCTGCATGCACATTACAGCCTGAGAAACACTGGCAAGACCCGCAGTAGGTGCCCAGGTGCTGATGAATGAAACGAATGATGCAATAGTTTGGAGAAGTGGTCTTTGCACAAATGGCACAAGCAGCTTGAGCGTGGCCACGCCCCGTCCCAAGGCGCTCCTCTGCACAGGGACCGCCCCTGTGATATCCGGCCTGCGGCTGCAGAGCACGCTCCCCACTTTAAACATGGTCCTCCTGCAGGGACCCAAATTGGCTGCCCCAGATAACACCAGGGTTAAACGGCAGCTTCTGAATTCATTACTTCCTCTCATGTCATCAGCCCAGCGACACATTTCACTGCTCTCCACTCTGCCCCTGCCCCGGGATTGCTGTGCGGGGCTCAGAGTATAATCATACCGCCAATGAACCATGAACGCAAACTAATAAACATAATTGGAACTGATGCGCTCGGGCTGCAAAGCCGTTTTCCTTCCTACAGTCTCCCACGTTAGGAAGGCACCCTGTGGAACGCGGCAATCAACAGCGCCCCTCGCTGCATCTGCCTCGCGAAATGAAGATGCTAGCTCTGGTCCCCAAAGGGATCATGATTCTCTCGTGGCCATTCGGGAGTTCAGCAACGACCTCCCCAGGGAGATGCACTTAGCACTTCTTGAGGGTTTCCGGGGACTGTGGCTCATCTTACCGTGGTTGAGAACGCCGTCTTCCACCAGAACTTGCCACATGCCGACGGCCTGAGTTCGGGAGTGGACGCATGGAGTCTGCTGTAGCATCCAGTCCACCAGCTCGGTCCCCACGCAGCATTGTCTAAAGGGAGGTGGGCGCAAAGAAGGGAAGCTCACCCCCTTGTCAATGATGTCTCTTTTGAGAGGAGGCCCTCCAAAGAGCGTAGTGCTTCTATCATAAGAGGGTCTCCCTGCAAACAGCGCTGCCCGGTGCGGCCTCAGGTTCTCAAACTCGGGTACAAACCAATGAAACCACTGCACTCATGAGAGAAGCTTCTAAGCAAGGCTGCCTAGATGAAAGAGCATTATGAGCTGCAGCACCGGGGAGACCGAAGGGCTGCAGACAGGAGCCTTATCTGGTGACCTAAGGATCGCAGGGCCAGAAACCCTCTCATCTTGTGCCTGTCCCAGAAAATCTCCATGTAAAATGAAGGCAAAGCAAAATCTGAACTTCCTTCACCGGAGCCTTGCGAGGAATGAGTTAATGTATGTGAGGCACTCGGAGGTGCTCCATGAAAGGCGCTGTGTAAGTGCAAAATTATATAGCACTTTATATTTTCAAGTAATACTACTGATCTTCCTCAGAGGGGTGTTGGGAGAAACAAGCAATTAGCGATGCAAATCTCTCAGAAATAAGTTCCATGTAATGAGTATCAGCACTTCGCCAGAGCCTGTTGTCTGAAGGGCTCCAAATGCTTCTGTATAGTCACACATTCATCCCAAAGAGGCCCCTCTGTGGCAAGTTGGTCAGGACGGGTGAGCTATCTGCATTAGTTTGGAAACATACAGTCACACACATGCACACCTCCAGTGGGGTGAGAGAGAAAGGCAGATGTCCATGGCATCGTGGTTCAAGGGAGAGAATGGAATCTTTAAGTCCTTGAGATGAATCTCCAGGGACAATGGCACAGGCAAGGGAGTGGCAGAGCAGCCGGTGCCTGCAGCTGGGTCTGAGTTACTGGTGGCCTCCGTCCCATGCTAAAGATGCCACCAGCTCCAGTGCACGCTGAACCTGGGTCAAGCCCAGGGAGCAACTCTTTGGTTTCAACCTGAGGAAATTCCTGGTTTGTGGCACGTTAGGAAGAGACTTAGCCTGGGGGGGCCAGGTCTGGGACTTATTAGCTACATGACTTTGACTACTACATTATTTCAACTCTCTGGTTCTCAGTTTTCTCATATGTAGAAGAAATAAGAAAAAGATGGCCTCTAAGGCCATTTCCAGTTCTAATATTCTAGGAATTGAAATTTATCAGAGCTCCTGGGATGTCCTGATTCAGGTCTGACCCTAAACTATTTCACAAGGAGGATGTCCTGAGAAGGCCATTATATTTCCAGGACTGCTCTGATTACTGTCTATACTCACACACTGGCGCTGCAGTGGGCCTAGAGGTACCTAGTTACTATTCATTCTGAACCAAACATATGATCTGTCAAAATATTCTTCTTCTAATTTGAGAATTTATTAATGGTCAAAGTCTTGTAAAAGTAAAAAACAATCATCGCGTGTGGTTTTGCAATCAATGATTACCTTGACCAAAAAGAGCTCATGGAATTGAGATGATCCCAGATTCCTGGGCCTGGTACAGGGCACAAGAATCCTGCAGTCAGAATACAGAACAAAGACTCCCAGCCGTGCCACTTGCAGCCGATGGAGTCACTGGGTTTCCTTTGTTAATTGGCCCTAGCCACTTTGGAATTGACAGGCGATCACCAGTGCGGTGATCATTAGAGAAGATACTGCATCTGGGGAGACTTCAACCCCCTAGAACTGCAGCAGGGAAATAATGGGTGAGGAGCAGGAGGGAGGGTGAGGGTGGAATTGGGAACAAGATCTGGGACAAGGAACTCAGACTGTGCTGCAGGAAAAAGAAATCATGCCTTTGGCTTCCAGTTGAGTCCATAGGCCATTACTAACAGACATTAATTTGTGTCACAGGGTGGGGAATAGACATAACACCTATGTTTCAGGGGTTTAAAATCTTAGAACCATGGAGCAAGAAAGCGATTATGGTTTCTGACTCCTAATTTCCATTATTTGTCACCAAAGATGACATATTTTAATGGAGTTTCCCTAACGCAAGTCAACACTTGGGAAAACATAATCACATCCTAAATTAAGGGAAAAACTCACAAAATTTTTAAAAGAAAAAAGGTCCTTTAGCTATATGAGATCTAAAATCTACTTAATGAATTAAAGAAGTTAAACTCTCTCTGGGTCATATAACCACAATTCTTTTTAACCTTTACTTCTCTTAAAATTATAGCAGTCTGTAGGGACCATGGACTTCCAAAAGAATGAGCTTGCAGGGTTGGAAGAGAGGACTTCCAAATGTAATCATCCAAAATGGTAAATATCTACATTAAAAGAGTTAGAGGAACAATCTGTCTAAAGAGTTGGACTGTGTACTAAGAGGAATGTGTTACTGATAAGACTAAAGTGTTTTTCAAATTCCATCTCATTTCAAAAATTCTATCAAGAAGAGGCCAATCTAAATGTAACAAATAAACTGTCTGTTTTGGTCTTGTAAACATCTTGGATATGAAGAACAATATAAACAAACAAACAAGACAGAAACAGACTCACAGATACAGAGAACAAACTGATGGGTGCCAGAGGGGAGGGGTTGGGAGTCTGGGTAAAAAGGTGAAGGGATTGAGAAATACAGATTGGTAGTTGCAGAATAGTCATGGGGATGTAAAGTACAGCATAAGAAATACAGTCCACAGTATTATAATAACTATGTATGGTGCCAGGTGGGTACTGGAAATATCAGGGGAAACACTGTAAAACCACTATGCTGTACACCTGAAAGTAATACAAAATAATAGTGACTATAAACTGTAATTGACACTAAAAATAAATAAGTAAAACACATTAATGACCAATACAAGCAGAAGAGTGGTAATTTGTGTGAAGTGCATAAAAAAGTGACCCAAGAGGAAGAATTTGCAATGTTTTTCCATCTCTGTCCTTGGGAAAGAGACTGGATCTTGAGGCACATATACCTGAAGGTTTGCTATAGGGTGAACCAGGTATGACTTTACAGGTCCTGTCAGAGTTGATAGTCACTAGAAAGATATATACCCTTCAGGATGACTTTAAAATGTGTATTCTAGCTTTTCACTGTGTCTTATGAGTTTGGTTCATGTGAATTGAATGGGTTTTGATTCATGCCAAGTCTGATGGGTTCTGAGGTCATGTCTCGGCTAACTGGGAAAGTGAGTCTGACTGATAGATGGAAGAAGACTCTGGGTCTGAATCATGGGTGCAGGGAGACAGCACGAAGGCTTGGGTTCCATAAGCAGACCATTCTAATTCCTAAACCCTAACTGAGTTGATAAAATCAAGAGTTCAAGACTAGACATCCATTCTTATTTGACTCACTGTGGCTCAGTCATCCCAGAAGGTTTACTAAATCATGCAGCTTCAGTCTTTATTATTATTTTTTAACTCCGGTGGCAGCTAGAATGAGTCTTTAATTTTATATGATTATAGCTGTGCAGTGTTGTATATCTTACTATATGCATAATAGAATAAAATCTACAGTATTTATTTTCTATGTAAAATCTGTAAAGGACATTGTATATATCTTCTTCCTTCCTGTAACCTTAGGGCTTGGAACACAGTAGTACCTGGTGGCCAGTGGGTGCTTAATACACTTGTGGAATGAATAAATGATAGAGTGAATGAACAGATCACAACCAACTTTGGTTTAAATCTTGGCTCTGCCATTCACTAGACTTATGGTTTGGACAAGAAAAACTAATCTCTCTGAGCCTCAGTTTTATTATTTGAAAAATGATCATATACCAACTTAGTAGGTTATGGTGAGGATAAAATGAGATCATCTATAGAAAGTGACCTGGTACAGGGCTTCAAACATAAATACATGTTCAGTAAAAATTAGTTGATTCATCTAAATATAGTAGTTTTCCTTTTAAAAAAAAACACGACACTAGTAAACAGAAATACAAAAGTTTTCTTTTCTTTGTTCATCACAATTAAACCAATGTCCAAGCAAATTAGTTCAGGAGTAACTGTTGAGACTATTAAGGATAATTAAAGTTATGCAGGATCCAAGACAAGCTTAGATCTTCCAGAACCAGGAGGATTATAAAGCACGCTGCCCAGGCATGAAAACCAGGGAAATGCAACTTTGTTTCCATTTCACTGGACATGAACCTGAGGGCTCACAGCCTTTAGAATTATTTCACATACCTGTATGTCTTGAGGTGATATTTTCTATCTCTTATCATGTGAGGTGCTCGAGAGAGAATGGCATTTCGCAAAATTTTTCCAGCCCTGAGTATCTTCTCTGAAGGGACCTGGGTTTTAATCAGTTGGGAGGAAGGGAAGAGAAAGAAAGAGATTTTATAGAAGCAAAACAAACCAGATGAATCCTCCAGTCACTTTTCAATCTGACTCTGGCTTGAAAAAGACAACTCATTCATACATGTACAATGTTCACGCGTGTGACTGCTTTATGTTGAGAAACGAGACACACTGAATGTTTATCGCCTCTGCAGAATGTATCTGAGGTTGCCTGATGTGATGTTCTGACATATGGACCACCTCCAGTGTTTACTGATGGCTCATCAACCCACCTACATCTCATTACCTTGGCAATGGTGTTAGCAGGACGAAGAGGAACGTGAGGTTCAATGAGAGGTGTCTGAAAAATAAAACGTTAAAGCAAAAGAAAATTAAACAAAAAGTTCACCAAAGAAAATTATGGGTTGGGGGATAGTAAGAAACATCCATTTTTGTAAAACTCAAAATAGAATAAAAACAAAAACAAAAACAAGAGCTAAAATCTGCCTATGGAACTTGAATGCATAGGCATTCAAAGGGCAAAATTAGACCATTCAATTTGCCAAAATTTAAATATAAACTATTTAAAAGGAAATAAGCAAACAGATAGGAATGGTTAATGTTTGTAGGCTTAATGAGAGGGGAAATGAAATCTACTCAAAGCATAAAAACATCAGAGCAGAGGCAAAAGCAAAGCAAGAAAAACATGAATAGAGATTAAAATGACCTATCTCAGGGGCGAAGGATAAAGTATTGATTTAGGATGAAAATGAGCGATTCCATCCTCCACCATGTAGTAAAGATTCTTTTTCTGCAATTTGTAGTTTTAGAAAAAAAAGTCTAAGTCGTAAAATAATGCTTCCTGATGGCTGCATGCAGTCACGTTCCTAGCCCCCAGTGGGACAGCCCTGTGCCTTCTCTCTCATTCGCAAGGTAGTGTCGTTTTCAGGATTCCGTGACTGTCGGAACAGCTCTGGGATCTAGATAAAGCTTCTATCCTTATCTGCATTCTTCAGATGAAGAAATCCCAGGGAAATGACTTGCTACACACCGAGCCCCCTGGTCCTCCTGAAATCCCTCTGTTTCTCTGAAATATCTGCTAATGGCATTTCCAGAAGGAGGAGAAAAACAGATTCAGTCAAGGGTGGTGGTAGAACCATGAATACCACACTGTTTACGCCACTTCCAGAAGGTCAGAAGAGATAGTAGGTTTATTGATAGGTTGTGGTAGGCAAAATAACGGTCCCCCAAAAGATAGGTCCTCATCCCCAGGGCCTGTGAATATATTAGATTATATGGCAAAAGGGATTCTACAGATGGGATTATGTTAAAGATCCAGGTGGGAGATTATGCTGGGGTTTTCAGGCTGGTCCAGTGTAATCACACGGGTCCTTAAAAGGTGGAGGGTAGAGGCAAACGAGTTGGAGCCAGAGAGATGGCAGAGTGAGTAGGACTCAGCCGAATTTTGTTGACTTCGATGATGGAAGAAGCCAAGCGCCAAGGAATGAGGGCAACCTCTAGATGGTGGAAAAGGCAAAACAATACATGGATTTTTCCCCCAGAGCCTCTGGAAGGAACTGACCTGCTGACTTGATTTTTAGCTCAGTGACACCCATTTCCGACTTCTAAACTACAGCACTGTACGGTTATTAACTTGTGTTGGTGGAAGCCAATAAGCTTGCAGGAATTCCTTCTAGCCATCACAGAAAACTAATATGGAGATTACTGTACTTCATACTAAGACCCCTACGCTTTGCAAATAGAAGCCATTACATGGAACAGAAATTGGTAGGTTTTCACTCTAATCTTTATTTTACATACGATTATGTTAATATAATTAGTGGGGGAAATAAAAGCCAACATTAATTTAAAATACTTTATGTTCCTAATACAAACAGACATGTATAAACATATACCTATCTTTTTATCAATGATGAATTTCAGTTGGGTTCATGCTTTCACTATTATAATAGCATTAAGGGAAAAGTGAAAAGACTACTAAGCTTTAAGGAAAGAATAGATGAGACACAGGTTTATTTAGCATGATTGAAATCTCACTGAACTGCAACATTTTCATCACCTCGCCACATCTAGTTGACTTTTTCCCTCTTGAAATCACGAGAGCGCAGGTGTGAAGCAGTATTACAGTGTGTTAGCAGCATGCTATTTTCAACCAGCAAAGACCAAGGACTGTCAATCTGGCCCCTTCAACAGTAGCTTTAAACAGAGACCAACTCTGCCCTGAAATAACCTGTGCTCTCTTCTGAGAGCTAGACCTTCCCATGGGACAGGGTCCATGAGCTTAAGGAGTTCCTGAGTCTGTGCCACCTCCTCAAAGACGACAGAGAGAATTCTGTGGCATCAAACCTCCTGAAAAATATTCAGCAGTGCCAGTGCAGCAGGCACCAGGGCACTGGGAGTGTGCCTGGCAAACACGCTGATTATGTCCAAGTTGTGAGTTACCAGCACTTATGCCTTCTGCCTCTTTACATTCATTACACAGTTTGGTTCATATGTCTAGGACTGTGTATCCAAATTGTAGAAGCCTCTGGTTATTCTTTTTTTTTTTTTATGTTTTTATTGATTTTAGAGAGAGAGAGGAAGAGAGGAAGGGAAACATCAATGTGAGAGAGAAACATCAATTGGTTGTCTCTTGTACGCACCCCAACCCCTGGGGACCAAAACCGAAACCTGGGCATGTGCCCTGACTGGGAATCCAACTGATGACCTTCCCACATATGGGATGGTGCTCAATCCACTGAGCCACACCAGCCAGGGCTGGTTGTCTTGAAAACAGTAGTAGAAACCCATTTCTTCTTCCCGTCTTGGAAGAAAGAGGTGCAGGTACACGTGGTCTAGAATAGATGTGGGATTCACTTCTGAGGTCATCTTTTCTTTCCTATAAAAAAAGCTACTTTCCATCTTGGCCAGTTTGGCTCAGTGGTTAGAGTGTCAGCCCTAGGACAGAAGGTGGTGGGTTAGATTCCTAGTCAAGGAAATGTACCTGGGTTGCAGGTTAGATCCCTGGCCCCAGTCAGGGTCATGTGGGAGGCAACCAATCCATGTGTCTCTTGCACATCAATGTTTCTCTCTCTCTCTTTCTCCCCTCCTCCCTTCCACTCTATCTAAAACTCAACAGGGAAATATTCTCGGGTGAGGATGAACAACTACCACAACAAAAAGCTACCTTCCTTTGCACTAGTCTTTGAGAGGCTGGCTGATACAGAGGTGGAGAAGATGCTCATGCTTGAGGATTATTCATCAGTAGGACAATGAAACATTATTTGAAAATTGCATGTTTTTGTTTGTTTCTATAGAAATGGCTACATTTTAAAAAAATGCTAAAAGTGGTCCCTAGGTTAGTTTATTTTGTTGGTCCCTTGGAAGGCTCAAAAGGAAGCATGACTCAAGCAGGGGGACTCATCGAGCTTCAGCCAGAATGGCTCCTTGGATCTGCAGCTTCTAAAGGGGTACAATGTACTCCAGGCCGTCTTTTAGCTAGGTGACCCTCGTGCGGGTCCAGGACCGGGGGGCTATTTACTCTGACGAAGGCAGCATTCTTAGAACCTTCCCTGGCTCAAAGATCTTAGGCTTGGGGCAACATAATGAATGGCTGCTTTGAGAAGGCTCCGAAGAACACACGCGAGGTGAGAGCAGGGGGAGTCTTATTTTGGGGGAATAAAATTTGCCTTCGAAAGGGACACTCGATTCAGTTAGGCAAGCTCCTGTGTTCTAAGGAGCCGGTTCCTGGCAGCCACGCGCTGTCAGATAGAGGGCGCGCGTGACCGGTAGGCCAGGTGCCTGGAAGACGGTCCCCTGCGAAAGCCTGTTCAGGAACTCTTCCATTATGCGTGTGACTCCACTGCTTTCGTATCTGCTCATTTACCTCCTTTTCTGTTTCCCCTGGCTTTCAAGTAAAGTTCCTTTGAGAATTTCACCCTAGCTGTGCTTTAAAGAATGAGGAAAAGAATTTCATTGTATAAATGATTAGGTTAAAGAGGCCAGGGAAAGAAGTGGCCTGGTGATATCAGTGAGAATGAAGACAAGGACAGCAGCCCTAAAGGCAGGACCAAGCATTTCCTGTGACAGGCCCTTTATACATGTGGTCTGCACATGAGCCTTATATGTGTCATCTCTTATTTTATTACTATCTTCATATTTTATTGATAAAACGACAGGCAGAGACACACAGGGACTGAGCTTCCCGCTAATAACTGGAAGAGCTGGGAGTTGAACCCACTCCCACGTCTGCGCTGCAGGTACAGTGACCCCCATCCCACCTGCTCTTTTCTTCTAGAGAGGACTTTGCTCACCCATTGGAAGAATTTGTGTTGTTTCACTCATGTTCATTGAGAAAAAAGCATTTAAGCCCTTCTAGGTTATCAGATATCAGACTTGATCTTAAAATTTTTCAGCAGTAAATTCAGAGATCTACTGAGATGACAGCACCATGCATCATGCCTGGTCTGAATTAACTACATTTTTAATTAAATAAACTTGACATGTAACATTGTGTGAGTTTAAGGTATAGAGCAATGTTACTTCGACATATTTATAAACTGTACTAAGATTGCTGATATAGCGATATTTATCACCTTACATAATTATAGTACAATATTATTGTCCATATTCATTGTACTGTGCAGTAGGTCTTCATGTGTTATTTACTACTCGTTACAAGTTTGCACCCTGAACACCATCCCTCTCATTCCCCCACCCCACCCCCTAGTAATCTCCATTTTACTCTCTGTTTTTCACAGGCTTCACTTTTTTAGATTCCACATATAAGTGATATCATACAGTACTTGTCTCTCTCTGTTTGACTGTATCTCATTCAGCGTAATGTGCCCAAGGTTCATCCATGTTGTGGCAAATGGCAGAATATCCTCTTTTTTCACGTCTGAGTAATATTCCATTGTTCATATGCCCCACATCTTTTTCCTCCCATGTTTATCTCAGCATTATTCACAATAGTTAAGGTATGTGGGAAACAACCCAAATACCCATCCATGGATGAATAGATGATTTAACTCTTTAAAAAGCAACTTTCCACCTGGCCAGTGCAGCTCAGTGGTTGAGCACCAAGAAGTCACTGGTTCGATTCCCGGTCAGAGCACATGCCCAGGTTGTGGGCCAAATCCCCAGTGTGGGGCACGTAGGAGGCAGCCAATCAGTGTTCTCTCTCATTGATGTTTCTATCTCCCTCTCCCTTTCTCTCTCTCTCAAATCAATTTTCTTTAAAAAAGCAACTCGGGCTAAAACAAATATACCAGGGACATGGGTGGCAGTCAAAGTCTGAGCAAGAAAGTGGCTTCTACTCAGTATTTCCCACAGAAGGAATTTAATGCCCCAACTGGCTCT